CAGGTTCTGACCCAGGTGCACCAGGAGCATGGTCACCAGGGGGTGGAGCGAACATTGGCGCTCCTTCGGTCCCGATGCTACTGGCCTGGTATGTCTTCCGAGGTGGCTCAATGGTGTCAGAGATGTGAGCGGTGTCAAGTGGCCAAAGATGTGCATCCAAAAGCACATAGCTTCATGGGGCATCTCTTGGCTTCCCGCCCTAATGAAATCCTTGCCATCGATTACACGACTCTAGAACCAGCCCAGAATGGTTTAGAGAATGTTTTGGTGCTTACAGATGTTTTTAGTAAGTACACTGTGGCTATCCCTACTCGGGATCAGCGTGCTGCTACTGTGGCCAGGGTTTTGGTGTCGGAGTGGTTTTATAAGTTTGGCGTCCCTGCTCGTTTGCATTCTGACCAGGGCCGTAACTTTGAAAGCACTCTCATTCAGCAGTTGTGTGACCTGTATGGGATTGTAAAATCACGCACTACCCCATACCATCCGGAAGGAAATGGTCAGTGCGAGCGTTTTAACCGGACGCTCCACAACTTGCTGCGTACCTTGCCAGTGTCCCGGAAAAGGGATTGGCATGTGTGTCTGCCTCAGGTGTTGTATTGTTATAACACAACTCCCCACCAGTCAACCAGAGAGTCACCCTTTTTCCTGATGTTCGGGCAGGAACCCAGACTGCCCATTGATTTCTTGTTGGGTCGAGTTGAGAGCCCTGTTGGTGGCTCTATCCATGAGTGGGTTCAAGAGCACCAAGCCCGTTTGCAAGTAGCATTTGAAGGAGCACGAGAGCGCTTGAAACATGCTGCTGATCGGCGGAAGCGAGTTCACGATCAGCATGTCAGAGATTTGCCATTGCAGGAAGGGCAGCTTGTGTATTTGCGTGACTTAAGTACTAGGGGGCCCCAGAAGATCCGGGATCGGTGGAGTTCTGTGAAGTATCGGGTGTTGAGAATGCCTAAAGAAGGCGGCGCGGTGTATACTATTGCGCCAATGGACAACGAGACCAAAGTCAGACAGGTCCACCGCACTAGGCTGAAGGCTGTTGTAATGGTGGACTCACCTGGTCATGCCACTTCTCATAACTCTACCTCTTGCGAGGAATCACCCCCAGCAGAGGAGCCTTCATTTGAGTATGATTTGTTGATCTTAGACCAACCATCTTATGTGGCCACTTCTGCCATGCCCTCCACCAGATCAGCTGTGTCTCAAGTGCCTGCAGCACCGTCCGGAGCATTAACATCTCTAGTCCTTCCCTCTGTCACTTGTCCTGATTCCAGTAACATGGGCCCACGCCGGACCACACGTCAAACGGCTGGTCAGCATTCAAATGTGCATCATTTCCCACGGTCTGCTGGAGATGCTTGTGCCGCTAATCCTCCTGCTTCTGTGTCCAACTCAGTATCTGCCTTGTTTAGACCTTGGAGTTAGCTTGTTGTACTAGCCTCACTTTGTTGATCGTCGGGACGACGATCCAAGGAGGCGGGGTAGAATGTAGCAGCATAGACATAGGGCTGTCATGCGGCAGTTAATTGCACCTGCTGACCATTGGGGCGGCAGTATATAAGTACGGCCCTCCTTCTCGCACGCTCACTAACGCATCATTTCCGGGTCAGGTGTTTGCCTGTGCAGGTAATGCTCCATGCCGCTGCTGCGGCTACTGCTCTGTTTCATCTTTTACTGTGTCCTGTTGCTTAAAGCCTGCGTGTTTTCACTGCAGAGCAACGACCGAGTGCCCCGTGCTTTGTGCTCCATGCTCCGTTTAGACCTTGGTTCTCTCTGGCGGTGGTAAGTGTCCTCTCTCTCTGTTACACCGAATGCTATTCTGTAGCTAACGCTAGTGTGGTCACAGGTAGATGTCCGCTGCCGTGTGAGTCTCTCTCTCCCTCCCTCTCCCTGTGCAGGTTTGACTTTGAAAACAGGTATGCTACCTTAAATCTAACTCTCAAAAGCTTTGATTAATGTAGTTTAGCTATGCTAATGGTATGTTTATTGACAGGGAATGCTCGTCAGCTGGCCGAAATCTACAGGTGGCGATTCACGTGCCTTCACCACCAGCTGATTGGGACCGCTGCTGTTTTGTCTCTGTTTTGTCTCTGTTTTGTCTCTGTTTTGTCTCTGTTTTGTCTCTGTTTTGTCTCTGCTTTGTCGCTGCCTTGTCGGTGTTTTGTCTATGCTTTGTCTACACTGATTTATTTACATTGCTTTGTCCGCACCGCTTTGCCTCTGCCGTTAAACACACGGTTGCTGTGTTTATACCGCTTTGTCGACTATATGTCTGCTGTTGTGCCCCTACTGCTAGCTGCATAGCTGTGTCTCTGCTGCTGTATGTGACATTGTCCCCTGCTTTGCCTCTGCAGTCACTTATTCCTTGCTGCCGTGTTCTGCGGCTCTGGCTGCTTGGTGGCTTCTGGCTACAGCCGGCTTGCATGGTGAACTGCAGACACCATACTTTTAATCTGTTTATCTCTTTTTATTTTAGCTGAACGATGGTGAGGAGTTAATCCCTTATTTTTGTATTACTTGTTTTGTTTATTGTTTTGATTAACTAGCTTGGTAAGCTTAATTGGTTAACTATTTCCTGCTTTATGTTGTATATTGTTTTTTATTATTATTATATTTTGTGTTAAATACTTCCATTGTAACTTTTGTTTTCCCTTCTCAGTGGCTGCAGGCTGGTGGTGGTGTTGGTGACGTGGGTGGTGGTGTCCCTCCTTCTTGTGTGCTGTGCTTCCTTGGATTTGGTGATACCACAGTGTGTGACTGCCACGTGTGTCTGGGTGAACCCTTTTTCTTTAATTTAATTTTGTTGAGTCCCCTTCCCCTTCACCTGCTCTTTCCCCACCAGTAGGCCTCAGCCCCTGATTAGGCTCCCTTTTTTCATTTATTGGGATGAATGCTATTTTTTTATAATGATATATATATATATTTATTAAATAAAGTATTTTTGTAAACTGGGAACCACGTGTCTTGCCTGTCGAGTGGAACGAACCTGTGTTTTTTTGGTCAGTGTAAAATAATTCCTTGGGTGCAATTCCCAAGGTGGCGTTGTCGTGCAACCTAAGATTCCCATTGAGAGAACATTCATTTTTGTTCGCAACCCCCGCCACACAAGCTTTATAATATCCTTCGGGAAAATTGGTGCATTGTCGTTTACATCCTGCACCTGCAGCGACAACCGGTGTAGCTCCAATGGATTCTCTAATAGCAAGTCAAATTTAAGAACACACGAAGGCTTTTCTCCACAATGCTCCTCTCTATCTATTCTTTCTGCAACCACTAAATCTCCGCTTCGAAGATTAATCCCACAATATTGTCTGTCGTTTCCTTCCATGTCAACACGAGCTTTACGAGCAGAAAGTCTGCCCACCTCCAATCCCAGATCCTTGGCGATATTTCCAATAACGGATCCGCGCTTCAGCTCCTCCTGTACAGAATAGCTCAGGTCTCCGTGTGCGTAATGCAGCAGAACAACAAAGAGAAATAAAAAGCCGTAGCTTGGAAGAACTCTCCGTGTATACACCATCCTCAGACAGTAGGCGTAGGCTGCTACACAAATTAAAAAACGTTAGTGTCTATTATACGAAATAATCATTAGATCAATGTATGTGCCGTCCAAGCATTAGTCGCCTTTGTTGAAGGCTATACAGAACAGGGTTGGTCAATCCCAATAATGGGTGGTGTGCAAAGCGGGCTGAACATTTGACTCCTTAGCTGGTCTATACTGACACCGTGAGGAATAAGAATATATAATCGTTTTACAGAAGGAACGCACATTATACTACAAATTCAGAGCTCGTTTGCAGGCAATGGTTGAATAGAAATATATTTTAATAATGTATTAAAAAAGTGATGAGTCGCTATCATGTTTATATATTTTCTTCAAGTGGAGTAAGAAGCTTCTTCCCATATTTGTAAGACTTTATAAACGAGATAGTGTCTCCTCCTGAAGAAATCCACATAGAAGATCTTGATAGTGACACAATATTGCCCGAAAGTTAAACAATGTTTTACCACTGAACATGTTCTTCCCCCTCATCTCTCTCTCTCTCTACAATTAAATAGATTGCAACAATTTGTTAAAAAGTATATACAAATCTGCCTTAAGCTTCCTCCAAAGACCACCTGAATTACACAATAACATCTAATTAAGGATAAATGATGTGTTCAAACAAAAGAAAATCAGCAAAGCAATAGTGTGCATTTTATGTTGAACAGGTGGAAAAGACACGTTAAATTTTTTTTTAACTTTGGGATTTAAAAACGATAAATAACAACACTTCCTGCCTAAAAAACCTTAACAACAGTAAAAATAAATAACGTGTAAGTGAGGTACACTCGTAAACCTTATTCACTAACATGAAATAACTTCCACTTTTTCTACTATTTTATTTATTTTCTCATCTTATCTTATAGCGAAATATAACTGTAATACAAAGCCTGCATACTGATTACAAAATGGCACAAAGATGTAGCAGAACACAAACTTGGTGAGTGAAAATGTAATATAAAAGGCTTTACAAAGTAAAAAAAATAGAAGACAAAGGCTGCAAATACATCACAAGTGCAACAGTGAGTTTCAGCACCAAGGACAGAGACACAACGATGAAGCTGCAGATCTACTCAACAGACACAGGAAGAGACACGGATAATTTTTCAAAAGAAAGAAAGCTTCAGGGAAATAGACATGAAAAAAGCTCAACAGCCTCGTTTCAAAGAACCCCCGATTTTGAAATATGTGCTTACAGTGGTTCCAAAAGTCCTCACTGAATTATTCATGCGTTATGACGCTCAGTGTGAATTTAGAAAGAAGGGAATCCAATAGTTATTTATTGCAAATTGTTCTAATTCTTAATGTTAAATTAAATTGCATAGGGTAACTTCAACTCATAGGCATGTTCCATTGTCAGAAATGACAAGAAATAAAAATACAAGTGATGACTGTAAGGGTATTAGTGTTGTCACGAAAAGTTTAAATGAGTCAGAAGGTACATGACATGTGTTCCTACCTCAGGAGAGTCATCACAATCTCCAAAGTCAGCAAAGTCACTAGGACATTTCCTCAGAGTCTGGTCAGCAGGCAGTGTGTTGTCATTGTAAGATGTCACGAACTTAAAGTCACTGGTTCTAGATCCTGTTGTCAGGTATGCGTCATAATTGTAAGCGCTGCGTAAAGTTCCTGTGCCGTCAACATCGGCGTAATTAGGAGGAAGATAAGCGCTGGGGATGGCAACTGCTCCATCAAACAACAGTCTGGGCTTTCTCCTGCGACAAAACCTCACACCCAGGATGATGATGATGAAGGTCAGAAAAAAGGTGGACACAGAAACCAGCGCGATGATCAGATAAGAGGTCAGTTTGGAATTATTCTCATCATAAGAAATATCCTTCAGTTCTGGCACCTCAGCCAAGTTATCAGAAATAAGTAAATACATGGAACAGGTGGCAGAGAGAGAGGGCTGTCCGTTATCTTTCACTGACACAATAAGGTTCTGTTTCATGCTGTCTGATTCAGAAATGTCCCGCTGTGTCCTGATCTCTCCGCTGTGGAGACCAATAGTGAAAAGTCCCGGATCAGTGGATTTGACTATATGATAGGACAGCCAGGCGTTCTGTCCGGAGTCCGCGTCCACCGCTATCACTTTGGACACCAGAGAGCCTCCGTGTGCAGCTTTGGGGACCAGCTCGGTCATGAGGGAGTTGCCCTTCGGGGAGGGGTACAGTATCTGAGGAGAGTTGTCATTCACATCAGATATAAAGACACTGACGGTCACGTTGCTGCTGAGCGGAGGAGAACCGTTGTCTCTGGCCATCACGTGGACTTTAAAACTCCTGAACTGTTCATAATCAAACGACCTCACAGCGTGGATCACCCCCGTATCTCCGTTAACAGACAGATAGGAGGACACCGGGGCACCGTTCACCTCACCAGCTAACAGAGAATAAATCACTGTACCGTTTTGTCTCCAGTCGGGGTCTCGAGCAGTAACGGAACATAAAGTGGAGCCAGGTTTGTTATTTTCAGTCACATATGCGCTGTAGGACTGTTCGTCAAACACAGGTGGGTTGTCGTTGATATCTGCTACAGATAACTGAACAGTTTTAGAGGAGGACAGAGGTGGAGAGCCCTCGTCAGTGGCAGTGATTGTAATGTTGTAATCAGACACTAGTTCACGGTCCAGTTGTCCTGTGGTCACCAGAGAATAATAGTTTTTAATAGAAGGAACCAACTTAAAAGGGACGTTTTGCTGAATGGAGCAGCGGACCTGTTTGTTAGTCTCAGAGTCTCTATCCTGTACATTAATGATGCCCACCTCTGTACCAGGTGACACATTCTCGGGTATGGGGTTAGACAGTGATTTCAGATATATAACAGGAGCATTATCATTCGCATCAGTGATATAAATAATCACCTTTGCTTCTGAAGAGAGACCATAGCCATCTTTGGCTTCTACAAATACTTCATATTTGGGTCCCTCTTCATAATCTATGTCACCTGTTACACTAATTTCTCCGGTTTTCTCATCAAGTGAAAAAAGCTTTTGTAATTTATCAGAGATTCGGCCAAATTCATATGTAACCTCTCCGTTCACACCTTCGTCTGAGTCTGATGCACTTACAGTGATAACTGGGGTTTTCATAGGTGAGTTCTCCGGTAAAGTGGCTGTATATACGGCCTCCGTAAACACTGGGGCGTTATCATTAGCATCCAGTACAATGACGTGTATGACTACAGTCCCGGATCTCTGAGGAGAGCCACCATCCACAGCTGTGAGCAATAATTTCATTTCTTGCTGCTCCTCTCGGTCTAACTCCTTATCCAAAACCAACTCACCATATTTACTGCCAGCTCTAGTAGTCTGAATACTCAACACAAAGTGGGGATTTTGTTGCAGAATGTAGCTTTCAACGGAGTTCTTGCCTATGTCTGCGTCTTGTGCTGCATTAACGCGATACTTTGCTCCCTTGACAGCTGACTCTCTAATTTCAAGCTTTATAATATCCTTCGGGAAAATTGGTGCATTGTCGTTTACATCCTGCACCTGCAGCGACAACCGGTGAAGCTCCAATGGATTCTCTAATAGCAAGTCGAATTTAAGAACACACGAAGGCTTTTCTCCACAATGCTCCTCTCTATCTATTCTTTCTGCAACCACTAAATCTCCACTTCGAAGATTAATCCCACAATATTGTCTGTCATTTCCTTCCATGTCAACACGAGCTTTACGAGCAGAAAGTCTGCCCACCTCCAATCCCAGATCCTTGGCGATATTTCCAATAACGGATCCGCGCTTCAGCTCCTCCTGTACAGAATAGCTCAGGTCTCCGTGTGCGTAATGCAACACAACAACAAAGAGAAAGAAAAGTCCGTAGCTTCGAAGAACTTTCCGTGTATACACCATCCTCAGACAGTAGGCTGCTACACAAATTAAAAAACGTTAGTGTCCATTATACGAAATAATCATTAGATCAATGTATGTGCCGTCCAACCATAAATCGCCTTTGTTGAAGGCTATATAGAACAGGGTTGGTCAATCCCAATAATGGGTGGTGTGCAAAGCGGGCTGAACATTTGACTACTTAGCTGGTCTATACTGACACCGTGAGGAATAAGAATATATAACCGTTTTACAGAAGGGATGCACATTATCCTACAAATTCAGAGCTCGTTTGCAGGCAATGGTTTAATAGAAATATATTTTAATAGTGTATAAAAAAGATGTAATGAGTCGATATCATGTTTATATATTTTCTTCAAGTGGAGTAAGAAGGTTCTTCCCATATTTGTAAGACTTTATAAACGAGATATTGTCTCTTCCTGTAGAAATCCACATAAAAGATCTTGATAGTGACACAATATTGCCCGAAAGTTAAACAATGTTTTACCTCTGAACATGTTCTTCCCCCTCATCTCCCTCTCTCTCTCTCTCTCTCTCTCTCTCTACAATTAAATAGATTGCAATAATTTGTTAAGTGTATATACAAATCTGCCTCAAGTTTCCTCCAAAGACCACCTGAATTACACAACAACATCTAATTAAAGTTAAATTATGTGTTCAAACAAAAGAAAATCAGCAAAGCAACAGTGTGCATTTTATGTTGAACAGGTGGAAAAGACACGTTTAAATTAAATTTTACTGTGGTATTTAAAAAAGATAAATAACAATACTTCCTGCCTTAAAAACCTTAATAACAGTAAAAATAAATAATGTGTAACTGAGGTACACTTTTAACCTTATTCACTAACATGAAATAACTTCCACTTTTTCTACTATTTTTTTTATTTTCTCATCTTATCTTATAGCAAAATATAACTGTAATACAAAGCCTGCATACTGATTACAAAATGGCACAAAGATGTAGCAGAACACAAACTTGGTGAGTGAAAATGTAATATAAAAGGCTTTACAAAGCAAGAAATAAGAAGACAGAGGGCTGAAAATACATCACAACTGCAACAGTGAGTTTCAGCACCAAAGACAGAGACACAACGATGAAGCTGCATATCTACTCAACTCAACCGTTTGTATTCGTCAACAATATTGAATTATATATTTGATTATAGTTTTCGTCATTGAACACCATTTACGTTGCGTCTCGTCTCGTTTCCGTCACGTGATAAAGGTTCTTTGACGACGAAATTTAGTCATATTTTTCGTTGACGAAAGCAACACTATAAACCACCACAGACGAGAATAATGCAACTGAAAAGAGTCAAAGCAATAGAAAATAATGGCTTCTTCAGGATGATGAACACAAGTTCAGTGATATGAAACGTGTTCCTACCTCAGGAGAACCATCACAATCTCCAAAGTCAGCAAAGTCACTAGGACTTTTCCTCAGAGTCTGGTCAGCAGGCAGTGTGTTGTCATTGTAAGATGTCACGAACTTAAAGTCACTGGTTCTAGATCCTGTTGTCAGATATGCGTCATAATTGTAAGCGCTGCGTAAAGTTCCTGTGCCGTCAACATCTGCGTAATTAGGAGGGAGATAAGCGCTGGGGATGGCAACTGCTCCATCAAACAACAGTCTGGGCTTTCTCTTGCGACAAAACCTCACACCCAGGATGATGATGATGAAGGTCAGAAAAAAGGTGGACACAGAAACCAGCGCGATGATCAGATAAGAGGTCAGTTTGGAATTCTTCTCATCATAAGAAATATCCTTCAGTTCTGGCACCTCAGCCAAGTTATCAGAAATAAGTAAATACATGGAGCAGGTGGCAGAGAGAGAGGGCTGTCCGTTATCTTTCACTGACACAATAAGGTTCTGTTTCATGCTGTCTGATTCAGAAATGTCCCGCTGTGTCCTGATCTCTCCGCTGTGGAGACCAATAGTGAAAAGTCCCGGATCAGTGGATTTGACAATATGATAGGACAGCCAGGCATTCTGTCCGGAGTCCGCGTCCACCGCTATCACTTTGGACACCAGAGAGCCTCCGTGTGCAGCTCTGGGGACCAGCTCGGTCATGAAGGAGTTGCCCTCCGGGGCGGGGTACAGTATCTGAGGAGAGTTGTCATTCACATCAGATATAAAGACACTGACGGTCACGTTGCTGCTGAGCGGAGGAGAACCGTTGTCTCTGGCCATCACGGGGACTTTAAAACTCCTGAACTGTTCATAATCAAACGACCTCACAGAGTGGATCACCCCCGTGTCTCCGTTAACAGACAGATAGGAGGACACCGGGGCACCGTTCACCTCACCAGCTAACAGAGAATAAATCACTGTACCGTTTTGTCTCCAATCGGGGTCTCGAGCAGTAACGGAACATAAAGTGGAGCCAGGTTTGTTATTTTCAGTCACATATGCGCTGTAGGACTGTTCCTCAAACACAGGTGGGTTGTCGTTGATGTCTGCTACAGATAACTGAACAGTTTTAGAGGAGGACAGAGGTGGAGAGCCCTCGTCAGTGGCAGTGATTGTAATATTGTAATCAGACACTAGTTCACGGTCCAGTTGTCCTGTGGTCACCAGAGAATAATAGTTTTTAATAGAAGGAACCAACTTAAAAGGGACGTTTTGTTGAATGGAGCAGCGGACCTGTTTGTTAGTCTCAGAGTCTCTATCCTGTACATTAATGATGCCCACCTCTGTACCAGGTGATACATTCTCAGGTATAGGGTTATTCAGTGATTTCAGAAATATAACTGGAGCATTGTCATTTATGTCTGTAATTTCAATTATCAAAGTTGCATATGAAACTAATCCCAGACCATCTTTTGCACTTATTTGCATTTCATGGGATGAAACTTTCTCATAATCAATAGCTCCAGCTACTCGTACCTCTCCCGATTTAGAATCTAAGGAAAATACGTTGCTATTTTCATCTGTAACATGATCAAATCCATAGGTAATTTCGCTATTTAATCCCTCATCTGCATCAGTTGCACTCACTGAGATCACCAATGTATCCAGAGGAGAGTTTTCAGGCAGACTTGCTTTGTAGACAGACTGACTAAACACTGGTACATTATCATTAGCATCCAGTACAGTGACGTGTATGACTACAGTACCTGATCTCTGAGGAGAGCCACCATCAAATGCGGTAAGCAATAACATAATCTCTTGTTTTTCCTCTCTGTCTAATTCTTTGTCTAAAACTAATTCGCAATATTTTCTTCCACCTGCTTTTGTGTTTACGTTTAATTTGAAATTGTCATTCTGCTGGAGGGAGTAAGCTTGAATAGCATTTTCTCCGATGTCTGCATCGTGTGCCTCTCCAAGAAGAAACCGTTCGCCTTTGTCCGCTGATTCCTGAATTTCAATCTTAAGTGAATCCTCTTTAAACTGCGGTGAATTATCATTAATATCTTGAACGCGTATACTAATACGGTGCAATTCTAGTGGATTTTCCAGTACGAGTTCCTGTTTTAAAACACATGATGCTTTTTTCGCACAAAGCCCTTCTCGGTCAATTCTTTCTTGTACGATCAATTCGCCGGTATTGAGGTTAACACCGCTGTATTGAACGTTGCTGTCCTCAGTATCAATACGAGCCTTGCGAGCAGACAGTCTGCCCAAGTCAAGTCCCAGATCTATAGCGATATTTCCGATTACAGATCCCCGTTTCATCTCCTCCGGTATAGAGTAGCTCACGTCTCCATTGATGGGGTGGAGGGCCAGAAACAGAAAAGCAAGGCCGTAGCAGTGAAGCGAAAATCGGTAGTGTCCCATTTTTCCGACGACAAAAACTCCACTAATATTCAAGTTTTCAAAACAATATATCAATGATGCATTCGTGATTGTCTTTGCTATTCCCAAGTTAAACTGATATCAAATTACCAACCAGTTTTAGTCCAGTGCTGCAGAATACTGGACTCTGGCTTTGCATTTGACGACATAAAGGGGTGGGGAATGAACGTGCAATCTCGTGTACTGGTGCACACTGACACCTTGAGTATCTTTTTAGATACAGCAGGGGAATTTATGATTTTCTTTTGAATGGATTTCAAAAGGAAACCTTTAAAAAGAAACATATGAATCCTAAAACAAACTTTATACAAAACCTTTAGGATTGGCTTCCCTTACACTAACTGCGAAAGGAGATATTATTATCTCATGTAATATATACTCTCATTACGATAAGTAGTGGTATGATAATCAAAATAATAATATTAATAGAAAAAGGAGAGAAAAAAACACTGACAAGAAATTTATATTAGCTCATACTGCAAGCTGCTTCTATTGTTTTAGACTAACAACGCGGGAAACAGAGGTGAATTGCAAAATGCCGGGAAAAAAAATATGTTCAGCACCATGGACAGAGAAAGGAGGAGTTTAAATCTATGTGACAAGGCCGGCAGGAGGACTGCAACAAAACAAAGTAAGAATAGCTTCAAATATATTTTTGATTAGATGACCAAAACATTTAAATCGTGGGTGAAGTAAAGAAGACTGTGTGTGTGTGTGTGTATGCTGGGGAGGGAAGGTGGCTGAGGTCAAGGAACCTCCTAACAGATGCTTAGAGAGCTATTAAACATGTCTGCACGAACATTGACAAGCCCTGTCTGACTACAAGTGTTGTTTGAGAGAATATTAAAACCGTAATGAGGTTACAACAAACCAAAATTCAGAAGACTATAACATTAAGCCGTATTTAGGAATTTTGGACCATTCAAAAATACGATTTAATTGTGTCTGTGGAAGTTAAAAGTAAAAAGGCCAAGTGAAAATTGAGTACTGCATAGAAAACGGGGGATGCCTTATTAAATACGAGCACAGATAATGTGAGACGTGTTCCTACCTCAGGAGAGTCATCACAATCTCCAAAGTCAGCAAAGTCACTTGGACTTTTCCTCAGAGTCTGGTCAGCAGGCAATGTGTTGTCATTGTAAGATGTCACGAACTTAAAGTCACTGGTTCTAGATCCTGTTGTCAGATATGCGTCATAATTGTAAGCGCTGCGTAAAGTTCCTGTGCCGTCAACATCTGCGTAATTAGGAGGAAGATAAGCGCTGGGGATGGCAACTGCTCCATCAAACAACAGTCTGGGCTTTCTCCTGCGACAAAATCTCACACCCAGAATGATGATGATGAAGGTCAGAAAAAAGGTGGACACAGAAACCAGCGCGATGATCAGATAAGAGGTCAGTTTGGAATTCTTCTCATCATAAGAAATATCCTTCAGTTCTGGCACCTCAGCCAAGTTATCAGAAATAAGTAAATACATGGAACAGGTGGCAGAGAGAGAGGGCTGTCCGTTATCTTTCACTGACACAATAAGGTTCTGTTTCATGCTGTCTGATTCAGAAATGTCCCGCTGTGTCCTGATCTCTCCGCTGTGGAGACCAATAGTGAAAAGTCCCGGATCAGTGGATTTGACTATATGATAAGACAGCCAGGCGTTCTGTCCGGAGTCCGCGTCCACCGCTATCACTTTGGACACCAGAGAGCCTCCGTGTGCAGCTTTGGGGACCAGCTCGGTCATGAAGGAGTTGCCCTCCGGGGCGGGGTACAGTATCTGAGGAGAGTTGTCATTCACATCAGATATAAAGACACTGACGGTCACGTTGCTGCTGAGCGGGGGAGAACCGTTGTCTCTGGCCATCACGTGGACTTTAAAACTCCTGAACTGTTCATAATCAAACGACCTCACAGCGTGGATCACCCCCGTGTCTCCGTTAACAGACAGATAGGAGGACACCGGGGCACCGTTCACCTCACCAGCTAACAGAGAATAAATCACTGTACCGTTTTGTCTCCAGTCGGGGTCTCGAGCAGTAACGGAACATAAAGTGGAACCAGGTTTGTTATTTTCAGTCACATATGCGCTGTAGAACTGTTCCTCAAACACAGGTGGGTTGTCGTTGATGTCTGCTACAGATAACTGAACGGTTTTAGAGGAGGACAGAGGTGGAGAGCCCTCGTCAGTGGCAGTGATTGTAATGTTGTAGTCAGACACTAGTTCACGGTCCAGTTGTCGTGTGGTCACCAGAGAATAATAGTTTTTAATAGAAGGAACCAACTTAAAAGGGACGTTTTGCTGAATGGAGCAGCGGACCTGTTTGTTAGTCTCAGAGTCTCTATCCTGTACATTAATGATGCCCACCTCTGTACCAGGTGACACATTCTCAGATATGGGGTTAGACAGTGATTTCAGATATATCACCGGTGAGTTGTCATTCACATCAGTGATATCAATAATCACCTTTGCTTCTGAAGAGAGACCATAACCATCTTTGGCCTCAACAAATACTTCATATTTGGGTCCCTCTTCATAGTCGATGTCACCAGTTACACTAATTTCTCCAGTTTTCTCATCTAGTGAAAAAAGCTTTTGTAATTTATCAGAATTTCGGCTAAACTCATATGTAACCTCTCCGTTCACACCTTCGTCTGCGTCTGATGCACTTACAGTGATAATTGGAGTTTTCATAGGTGAGTTTTCCGGTAATGTGGCTGTATATACGGCCTCCGTAAACACTGGGGCGTTATCATTAGCATCCAGTACAATGACGTGTATGACTACAGTCCCGGATCTCTGAGGAGAGCCACCATCCACAGCTGTGAGTAATAATTTCATTTCTTGCTGCTCCTCTCGGTCTAACTCCTTATCCAAAACCAACTCACCATATTTACTGCCAGCACTAGTCGTCTGAATACTAAACAGAAAGTGGGGATTTTGTTGCAAAATGTAGCTTTCAACGGAGTTCTTGCCTATGTCTGCATCTTGCGCTGCATTAACACGATACTTTGCTCCCTTGTCAGCTGACTCTGTTATTTCAAGCTTTATAATATCCTTCGGGAAAATTGGTGCATTGTCGTTTACATCCTGCACCTGCAGCGACAACCGGTGTAGCTCCAATGGATTCTCTAATAGCAAGTCGAATTTAAGAACACACGAAGGCTTTTCTCCACAATGCTCCTCTCTATCTATTCTTTCTGCAACCACTAAATCTCCGGTTCGAAGATTAATCCCACAATATTGTCTGTCGTTTCCTTCCATGTCAACACGAGCTTTACGAGCAGAAAGTCTGCCCACCTCCAATCCCAGATCCTTGGCGATATTTCCAATAACGGATCCGCGCTTCAGCTCCTCCTGTACAGAATAGCTCAGGTCTCCGTGTGCGTAATGCAGCAGAACAACAAAGAGAAATAAAAAGCCGTAGCTTGGAAGAACTCTCCGTGTATACACCATCCTCAGACAGTAGGCTGCTACACAAATTAAAAAACGTTAGTGTCTATTATACGAAATAATCATTAGATCAATGTATGTGCCGTCCAAGCATTAGTCGCCTTTGTTGAAGGCTATACAGAACAGGGTTGGTCAATCCCAATAATGGGTGGTGTGCAAAGCGGGCTGAACATTTGACTCCTTAGCTGGTCTATACTGACACCGTGAGGAATAAGAATATATAACCGTTTTACAGAAGGGATGCACATTATCCTACAAATTCAGAGCTCGTTTGCAGGCAATGGTTGAATAGAAATATATTTTAATAATGTATTAAAAAAGTGATGAGTCGCTATCATGTTTATATATTTTCTTTAAGTGGAGTAAGAAGCTTCTTCCCATATTTGTAAGACTTTATAAACGAGATATTGTCTCCTCCTGAAGAAATCCACATAAAAGATCTTGATAGCGACACAATATTGCCCGAAAGTTAAACAATGTTTTACCACTGAACATGTCCTTCCCCCTCATCTCCCTCTCTCTCTCTCTCTCTACAATTAAATAGATTGCAATAATTTGTTAAAAAGTATATACAAATCTGCCTCAAGCTTCCTCCAAAGTCCACCTGAATTACACAACAACATCTAATTAAAGTTAAATTATGTGTTCAAACAACAGAAAATCAACAAAGCAACAGTGTGCATTTTATGTTGAACAGGTGGAAAAGACACGTTTAAATTAAATTTGACTGTGGTATTTAAAAACGATAAATAACAATACTTCCTGCCTAAAAAACCTTAACAACAGTAAAAAATAAATAATGTGTAACTGAAGTACACTCATAAACATTATTCACTAACATGAAATAACTTCCACTTTTTCTACTATTTTATTTATTTTCTCATCTTATCTTATAGCGAAATATAACTGTAATACAAAGCCAGCATACTGATTACAAAATGGCACAAAGATTGTAGCAGAACACAAACTTGGATGAGTGAAAATGTAATATAAAAGGCTTTACAAAGTAAAAAAATAGAAGACAGAGGGCTGAAAATACATCACAACTGCAACAGTGAGTTTCAGCACCAAGGACAGAGACACAACGATGAAGCTGCAGATCTACTCAACAGACACAGGAAGAGACACGGATAGTTTTTCAAAAGAAAGAAAGCTTTAGGGAAATGGATATGAAAAAAGCTCAACAGCCTCTATTCAAAGAACCCCTGATTTTGAAATATGTGCATACAGCGGATTATCCATGTGTTATGATGCTCAGTGTGAATTTAGAAAGAAGGGTATCCAGTAGTTATTTATTGCAAATTGTTCTAACTCTTAATGTTGAATTAATTTAGATAGGGTAACTTCAACTCATACACATGTTCCATTGCCTAAAATGATATAAGACAAGAAAGACAAATACAAGTGATGACTGTAAGGGTATTAAAGTTGTAATGAAAAGTTTAAAGGAGTCAGAAGATACATGACACGTGTTCCTACCTCAGGAGAACCATCACAATCTCCAAAGTCAGCAAAGTCACTTGGACTTTTCCTCAGAGTCTGGTCAGCAGGCAGTGTGTTGTCATTGTAAGATGTCACGAACTTAAAGTCACTGGTTCTAGATCCTGTTGTCAGATATGCGTCATAATTGTAAGCGCTGCGTAAAGTTCCTGTGCCGTCAACATCTGCGTAATTAGGAGGGAGATAAGCGCTGGGGATGGCAACTGCTCCATCAAACAACAGTCTGGGCTTTCTCCTGCGACAAAACCTCACACCCAGGATGATGATGATGAAGGTCAGAAAAAAGGTGGACACAGAAACCAGCGCGATGATCAGATAAGAGGTCAGTTTGGAATTCTTCTCATCATAAGAAATATCCTTCAGTTCTGGCACCTCAGCCAAGTTATCAGAAATAAGTAAATACATGGAGCAGGTGGCAGAGAGAGAGGGCTGTCCGTTATCTTTCACTGACACAATAAGGTTCTGTTTCATGCTGTCTGATTCAGAAATGTCCCGCTGTGTCCTGATCTCTCCGCTGTGGAGACCAATAGTGAAAAGTCCCGGATCAGTTGATTTGACTATATGATAGGACAGCCAGGCGTTCTGTCCGGAGTCCGCGTCCACCGCTATCACTTTGGACACCAGGGAGCCTCCGTGTGCAGCTTTGGGGACCAGCTCGGTCATGAAGGAGTTGCCCTCCGGGGCGGGGTACAGTATCTGAGGAGAGTTGTCATTCACATCAGATATAAAGACACTGACGGTCACGTTGCTGCTGAGCGGAGGAGAACCGTTGTCTCTGGCCATCACGTGGACTTTTAAACTCCTGAACTGTTCATAATCAAACGACCTCACAGCGTGGATCACCCCCGTATCTCCGTTAACAGACAGATAGGAGGACACCGGGGCACCGTTCACCTCACCAGCTAACAGAGAATAAATCACTGTACCGTTTTGTCTCCAGTCGGGGTCTCGAGCAGTAACGGAACATAAAGTGGAGCCAGGTTTGTTATTTTCAGTCACATATGCGCTGTAGGACTGTTCCTCAAACACAGGTGGGTTGTCGTTGATATCTGCTACAGATAACTGAACAGTTTTAGAGGAGGACAGAGGTGGAGAGCCCTCGTCAGTGGCAGTGATTGTAATGTTGTAATCAGACACTAGTTCACGGTCCAGTTGTCCTGTAGTCACCAGAGAATAATAGTTTTTAATAGAAGGAACCAACCTAAAAGGGACGTTCTGTTGAAGGGAGCAGCGGACCTGTTTGTTATTCTCAGAGTCTCTATCCTGTACGTTAATGATGCCAACCTCTGTACCAGGTGACACATTCTCAGGTATGGGGTTAGACAGTGATTTCAAACTAATAGCGGGTGGGTTGTCATTGACATCTGTTATGTCTATAATTACTGTACAATACGAGGTAAGGCCTGGTCCGTCTTTAGCTCTTATTCTCAATTCAATGGAGGTCTCAGTCTCATAATCGATCGGGCCGATTACTCTTATCTCTCCTGTCTTATGATCCAGTGAGAACAAGGAGACGTGATCATTAGATACATGATCAAAATTGTACAAAATATCACCATTGAGTCCCTCGTCAGCATCCGTAGCGCTCACAGTAACAACTACTGTATCTAAAGGTGCGTTTTCGGGCAGACTGGCTTTATAAACGGACTGGGTGAACACTGGGGCGTTATCATTAGCGTCCAGTACAGTGACATGAATGATCGCAGTGCCTGATCTCTGTGGTGAACCACCATCTAGAGCTGTAAGCAGTAATTTTAGTTCTTTTTCTTGCTCTCGGTCTAATTCTTTAACTAAAACCAATTCGGAGTGTTTCCGCCCACTGCCCTCCGTTGCTACATTAATGGTGAAATGCTCATTACTTTGTAAATTGTAGCGCTGTACGGTATTTGTGCCAATGTCTGCATCATGGGCTTCAGTAAGTGGGAATCTCGCTCCTTTGACTGCTGACTCTGTAATTTCAAATGAAATCAAGTCCTCACTAAACTGTGGTGCGTTGTCGTTTATATCTTGCACATGGATGCTGATACGATGAAGCTCTAAAGGGTTTTCCAAAACAAGCTCCTCTTTTAAAACGCAAGTCGCCTTCTTACCACAAAGACCTTCCCTGTCGATCCGGTCAGTAACAATCAAATCTCCGGTGCTCAGATTAATGTCACATAACTGCTTGTCATTCCTGTCTGTGTCAATGCGGGCTTTACGCGAGGAAAGCGTTGCAATCCCGAGGCCGAGATCTTTGCCTATATTTCCAATAACAGACCCGCGTTTCAGCTCCTCTGCAACCGAGTAGCTCACATCTCCATGAGCGAAATGAAGGCTGATGAAAAGGAAAAACACACAAAAGCGATCCATAGAAAATCCTCTGTTTCCCATGATCGGCCAGCCGTTCATCCTCCCCTGGCCAATTCTTTCAATGTGATCAAATACGGTTATATTGCTCGTTGTAATCAACTATCCGAATATCATCACAATGTTGGCCTTTTGTATTGTCCTTCGCCGACAGACACACCGCACCACAATAACGCTTTGCAAGGGTGGGAAAGAAATGGATGAAGCAGAGGACACTGTCGGCCTTTGTTGGTGCACAGTGACACCAAGAGCTTCAATCAGTTATAGCACTACACACTAAAACACACTGTCAACTTCACTGTCATATAAAGGCAAAAGTCGTGGCTATTCAGTCAATATTTGTTTATTATAACTACTACTGTCGTGTGGGTTGTGTATTATGTTTACTAATAAAAATAGCGAAAGTGACGTATTGTCTTATCTATAGAGGCTACAAGGTTATTTATTACCCACTGAATAATTTTCTGCACTGCATTCCACATAAGCTGTGTAAAACAAACCAATATAATAATACTGTAAAATATACTGCGCTCAACTGTACTTGCTGCTGTATTAGATTATTTGCTGGAAAAAAATAAGAATCCATCAAAACTTAGATAACCGATGAAATACTGTGTGAACAGAGACAGTTTTTAACTGCATTAAAAAATGCAACATGAAATCGAGAATTTCAGATTAAAAAGCAGCATGACTCAATTTAGTATCAGACAGGGAAGAAGAAGTGACAGTAAAATTCATAAAGGGGAAACTCAAATAGCTGAACCTTTCTACAATGAAGATTTTATTTAAAAGTTCTTAGATAATATATCCTAATTTGTAATGTGTGTATTAGGAAAAGAAGTCAACTGATTACAGCTGAAGTTGGATTAAAAATGTTTTTATAACACATCATATCAAAATTAAATATTACAACTAAAATCCTTGTGCAGTATGTACTAGGTTAAAATGTAATTGTTAAGTTGACCGCCTTGACAAACTAAAAGCAAAACAAAAAACATATTCCATAGTCGCACTTCATATAGGTTGTTAGCTCTGAATTATCATATGACAAATTACAGTAATGTAGAATGTTGCTGCGTAAATAGTTCATTAAAACTTCCAAAATAAGGTAAGGGAAGGTGACTCAACAGTTTCAAAAACCTTTTTGAACTAAATTAAGACATGAGTGTGCCCGCACTGGTGCCATTTAGTGACCCACGCTTTTCATATTTAAAAGATAGTAATTTTGTTCCTTACTAAGCAACAAGGCAAGAGGTTATTTTATATCACTGTTATCTTCCAACTGAGAATAAACTAAATTACAATAAGTATCTTGACTATATTGTGATCAAATGTTGAAAAGCAGTCTGCAGTTTTCTCAAGTTCACCCAACCACCACATAATACAATCGGTGAATGCAAAGCATCTAAAGCAGGCTAAGACCATCATCACATACATGTTTAAAGCATGAAAATTATAAAGCCAAAATCTTTACTTACACTTATAGTCCAGATGCTGCCCAGGCTCATGGTTAACTATGACTGCAGCATAATGTTGTATAGTTACATTTTGAGTGGTAGAATAACTAGAAAACATGACTGACCTATCATATTGTAATGAAGAAGAGGCCAACTACTGTATACAACTGTAGTCCTGCAGTAAACATTTCCTTTAAACCAGTATAAACAGAAACACACAGGGCTCACTTGGCAGAACATAAGAAAGTATCAACATAACAAAGCCACACCACAAATCACTAGTCTGCAGAAATATTTGCCAGCAAAAAGATGCTTTTGTTATTCTAAAATTAGCCAATTAAGACAAAAAATGAACTGCTAAGACTTATCCCAAGGTCAGCAAACACCACAGATAATGAAGGGAGGTAGAGCCATTTCAACCAGCATACTCTTAATTTGTATGCAACTGTTGTGACAAAACTACTATTCAAGACTACGGTGATCATCAAATGTCAAATTCTTAAATCATGTACTTTCCAGGGATTTGGCATCAGTGTTCAAGGCTATACAGAACACAAGGGTGGTAGATCCCACTAATGGGTAGTGTGCAGAGAAGGCTGACTGTTTGACTCCTTAGCTGGTCTATAGTGACACCGTGAGTGAAAATTAAATATTACAGTTTTTAGAAGTGATGTGAATAGATCATGTCCTTTAGTGTTACATGATGAAGACAGAAGTGGGCATACATAACTCTCTCTCTCTCTCTCTCTCTCTATATATATATATATATATATATATATATATATATACAACACAATATATTCCAATATTTCATTTTGTGTAAAAATCTTTCCCCAGAGACTACTTATATTATTCAAACTCAAAGAGATATGATTTGTCCATACACAACAAAAAAGAGGGACAACATGCCTTTTGTGCTGCACTGATCTAAATAAATGTTTTTGACTTCAACGTCACAAGGGGATTTAAAGCAAAAGGCAACAACAAAACCTATAGCAAAAGAACATTAAGAGCAGTAAATGAGATGCAGTAAACATGATATGTCTATATTCACTGACCAAAACAACTTTCAGTAATTCCAATGGTTTGATTTATTTCCTTCCTTTTTATCTCAAAACAATATATAACTGTTATACAAAACCAGAATGATATTTAAAAAGAAAGTTAATGAATCTATAATCTCAATTTAAAAGGTTAAAAGTATGTGGTAAATAGGTAAACAGACAGGAGATGAGTTGCTCCTACAAACACATGACAAGAGCAACAATAAGGTTCAGCACCATGGAGAGAGACACAAAGAAAACGCTGCATGTGAAACACACATGCTAAAATGCTGATGATTTGTTAACAGAAGACTGGTTTAGGTAAAAGTACATGTCAAAAAAGATCAACAGCCTCTCAAAGCACCAAAGCATTTAAGTTTAATGTAGAAGAACTTATCAGACCCAATGTGAATTTAAAAATGAGTGAAACGGACTATACACTGAAGGTTGTAGTAACTTAAGGTGAAATGACTTTAGAGAGGGTCACATTGACTCATTTGCATGTTACATTGTCTAAAATATTTGTTTAAAAATAAGACAAAAATAAATGATGACTGTAACGCTGTCGGCTTTACAATGATTGATGTGAATATGTCAACAGATACAGAATGTGACACGTGTTCCTACCTCAGGAGAACCATCACAATCTCCAAAGTCAGCAAAGTCACTTGGACTTTTCCTCAGAGTCTGGTCAGCAGGCAGTGTGTTGTCATTGTAAGATGTCACGAACTTAAAGTCACTGGTTCTAGATCCTGTTGTCAGATATGCGTCATAATTGTAAGCGCTGCGTAAAGTTCCTGTGCCGTCAACATCTGCGTAATTAGGAGGGAGATAAGCGCTGGGGATGGCAACTGCTCCATCAAACAACAGTCTGGGCTTTCTCCTGCGACAAAACCTCACACCCAAGATGATGATGATAAAAGTCAGAAAAAAGGTGGATACAGAAACCAGCGCGATGATCAGATAAGAGGTCAGTTTGGAATTCTTCTCATCATAAGAAATATCCTTCAGTTCTGGCACCTCAGCCAAGTTATCAGAAATAAGTAAATACATGGAACAGGTGGCAGAGAGAGAGGGCTGTCCGTTATCTTTCACTGACACAATAAGGTTCTGTTTCATGCTGTCTGATTCAGAAATGTCCCGCTGTGTCCTGATCTCTCCGCTGTGGAGACCAATAGTGAAAAGTCCCGGATCAGTGGATTTGACTATATGATAGGACAGCCAGGCGTTCTGTCCGGAGTCCGCGTCCACCGCTATCACTTTGGACACCAGAGAGCCTCCGTGTGCAGCTTTGGGGACCAGCTCGGTCATGAACGAGTTGCCCTCCGGGGCGGGGTACAGTATCTGAGGAGAGTTGTCATTCACATCAGATGTAAAGACACTGACGGTCACGTTGCTGCTGAGCGGAGGAGAACCGTTGTCTCTGGCCATCACGTGGACTTTAAAACTCCTGAACTGTTCATAATCAAACGACCTCACAGCGTGGATCACCCCCGTGTCTCCGTTAACAGACAGATAGGAGGACACCGGGGCACCGTTCACCTCACCAGGTAACAGAGAATAAATCACTGTACCGTTTTGTCTCCAGTCGGGGTCTCGAGCAGTAACGGAACATAAAGTGGAGCCAGGTTTGTTATTTTCAGTCACATATGCGCTGTAGGACTGTTCCTCAAACACAGGTGGGTTGTCGTTGATGTCTGCTACAGATAACTGAACAGTTTTAGAGGAGGACAGAGGTGGAGAGCCCTCGTCAGTGGCAGTGATTGTAATGTTGTAATCAGACACTAGTTCACGGTCCAGTTGTCCTGTGGTCACCAGAGAATAATAGTTTTTAATAGAAGGAACCAACTTAAAAGGGACGTTTTGCTGAATGGAGCAGCGGACCTGTTTGTTAGTCTCAGAGTCTCTATCCTGTACATTAATGATGCCCACCTCTGTACCAGGTGACACATTCTCAGATATGGGGTTAGACAGTGATTTCAGATATATCACCGGTGAGTTGTCATTCACATCAGTGATATCAATAATCACCTTTGCTTCTGAAGAGAGACCATAACCATCTTTGGCCTCAACAAATACTTCATATATGGGCCCCTCTTCATAATCTATTCCACCTGTTACACTAATTTCTCCGGTTTTCTGATTAAGTGAAAAAAGATTTCGTGATTTATCAGAGATTCGGCTAAATTCATATGTAACCTCTCCGTTCACACCTTCGTCTGCGTCTGATGCACTTATAGTGATAACTGGGGTTTTCATAGGTGAGTTTTCCGGTAATGTGGCTGTATATACGGCCTCCGTAAACACTGGGGCGTTATCATTAGCATCAAGTACAATGACGTGTATGACTACAGTCCCGGATCTCTGAGGAGAGCCACCATCCACAGCTGTGAGCAATAATTTCATTTCTTGCTGCTCCTCTCGGTCTAACTCCTTATCCAAAACCAACTCACCGTATTTACTGCCAGCACTAGTCGTCTGAATACTAAACACAAAGTGGGGATTTTGTTGCAGAATGTAGCTTTCAACGGAGTTCTTGCCTATGTCTGCGTCGTGTGCTGCATTAACGCGATACTTTGCTCCCTTGTCAGCTGACTCTGTTATTTCAAGCTTTATAATATCCTTCGGGAAAATTGGTGCATTGTCGTTTACATCCTGCACTTGCAGGGACAACCGGTGTAGCTCCAATGGATTCTCTAATAGCAAGTCAAATTTAAGAACACACGAAGGCTTTTCTCCACAATGCTCCTCTCTATCTATTCTTTCTGCAACCACTAAATCTCCGCTTCGAAGATTAATCCCACAATATTGTCTGTCGTTTCCTTCCATGTCAACACGAGCTTTACGAGCAGAAAGTCTGCCCACCTCCAATCCGAGATCCTTGGCGATATTTCCAATAACGGATCCGCGCTTCAGCTCCTCCTGTACAGAATAGCTCAGGTCTCCGTGTGCGTAATGCAGCAAAACAAAAAAGAGAAAGACAAAGCCGTAGCTTGGAAGAACTCTCCGTGTATACACCATCCTCAGACAGTAGGCTGCTACACAAATTAAAAAACGTTAGTGTCTATTATACGAAATAATCATTAGATCAATGTATGTGCCGTCCAAGCATTAGTCGCCTTTGTTGAAGGCTATACAGAACAGGGTTGGTCAATCCCAATAATGGGTGGTGTGCAAAGCGGGCTGAACATTTGACTCCTTAGCTGGTCTATACTGACACCGTGAGGAATAAGAATATATAACCGTTTTACAGAAGGGATGCACATTATACTCCAAATTCAGAGCTCGTTTGCAGGCAATGGCTGAATAGAAATATATTTTAATAGTGTATAAAAAAGTGTAATGAGTCGATATCATGTTTATATATTTTCTTTAAGTGGAGTAAGAAGCTTCTTCCCATATTTGTAATACTTTATAAACGAGACATTGTCTCCTCCTGAAGGACACAATATTGCCCGAAAGTTAAAAAATGTTTTACCACTGAACATGTTCTTCCCCCTCATCTCCCCTCTCTCTCTCTCTCTCTCTCTCTCTCTCTCTCTCTCTCTACAATTAAATAGATTGCAATAATTTGTTAAAAAGTATATACAAATTTACCTCAAGCTTCCTCCAAACACCACCTGAATTACACAACAACATCTAATTAAAGATAAATAATGTGTTCAAACAAAAGAAAATCAGCAAAGCAACAGTGTGCATTTTATGTTGAACAGGTGGAAAAAACACGTTTAAATTAAATTTGACTGTGGTATTTAAAAACGATAAATAACAATACTTCCTGCCTAAAAAACCTTAACAACAGTAAAAATAAATAATGTGTAACTGAAGTACACTTATGAACATTATTTACTAACATGCAATAACTTCCACTTTTTCTACTATTTTATTTATTTTCTCATCTGATCTTATAGCGAAATATAACTGTAATACAAAGCCTGCATACTGATTACAAAATGGCACAAAGATGTAGCAGAACACAAACTTGGTGAGTGAAAATGTAATATAAAAGGCTTTACAAAGTAAAAAAATAGAAGACAGATTGCTGAAAATACATCACAACTGCAACAGTGAGTTTCAGCACCAAGACAGAGACACAACGATGAAGCTGCAGATCTACTCAACAGACGCAGGAAGAGACACGGATAGTTTTTCAAAAGAAAGAAAGCTTTAGGGAAAAAGACATGAAAAAAGCTCAACAGCCTCTATTCAAAGATTTTGAAATATGTGCATACAGCGCTACAAAAAGCCCTCACTGAATTATTCATGCGTTATGACGCTCAGTGTGAATTTAGAAAGAAGGGAATCCAATAGTTATTTATTGCAAATTGTTCTAACTCTTATTGTTGAATGAATTTAGATAGGGTAACTTCAACTCATACACATGTTCCATTGCCTAAAATCATATAAGACAAGAAAGACAAATACAAGTGATGACTGTAAGGGTATTAAAGTTGTAATGAAAAGTTTAAAGGAGTCAGAAGATGCATGACACGTGTTCCTACCTCAGGAGAGTCATCACAATCTCCAAAGTCAGCAAAGTCACTTGGACTTTTCCTCAGAGTCTGGTCAGCAGGCAGTGTGCTGTCATTGTAAGATGTCACGAACTTAAAGTCACTGGTTCTAGATCCTGTTGTCAGGTATGCGTCATAATTGTAAGCGCTGCGTAAAGTTCCTGTGCCGTCAACATCTGCGTAATTAGGAGGAAGATAAGCGCTGGGGATGGCAACTGCTCCATCAAACAACAGTCTGGGCTTTCTCCTGCGACAAAACCTCACACCCAGAATGATGATGATGAAGGTCAGAAAAAAGGTGGACACAGAAACCAGCGCGATGATCAGATAAGAGGTCAGTTTGGAATTCTTCTCATCATATGAAATATCCTTCAGTTCTGGCACCTCAGCCAAGTTATCAGAAATAAGTAAATACATGGAACAGGTGGCAGAGAGAGAGGGCTGTCCGTTATCTTTCACTGACACAATAAGGTTCTGTTTCATGCTGTCTGATTCAGAAATGTCCCGCTGTGTCCTGATCTCTCCGCTGTGGAGACCAATAGTGAAAAGTCCCGGATCAGTGGATTTGACTATATGATAGGACAGCCAGGCGTTCTGTCCGGAGTCCGCGTCCACCGCTATCACTTTGGACACCAGAGAGCCTCCGTGTGCAGCTTTGGGGACCAGCTCGGTCATGAACGAGTTGCCCTCCGGTGCGGGGTACAGTATCTGAGGAGAGTTGTCATTCACATCAGATATAAAGACACTGACGGTCACGTTGCTGCTGAGCGGAGGAGAACCGTTGTCTCTGGCCATCACGTGGACTTTAAAACTCCTGAACTGTTCATAATCAAACGACCTCACAGCGTGGATCACCCCCGTGTCTCCGTTAACAGACAGATAGGAGGACACCGGGGCACCGTTCACCTCACCAGCTAACAGAGAATAAATCACTGTACCGTTTTGTCTCCAGTCGGGGTCTCGAGCAGTAACGGAACATAAAGTGGAGCCAGGTTTGTTATTTTCAGTCACATATGCGCTGTAGGACTGTTCCTCAAACACAGGTGGGTTGTCGTTGATGTCTGCTACAGATAACTGAACAGTTTTAGAGGAGGACAGAGGTGGAGAGCCCTCGTCAGTGGCAGTGATTGTAATGTTGTAATCAGACACTAGTTCACGGTCCAGTTGTCCTGTGGTCACCAGAGAATAATAGTTTTTAATAGAAGGAACCAACTTAAAAGGGACGTTTTGCTGAATGGAGCAGCGGACCTGTTTGTTAGTCTCAGAATCTCTATCCTGTACGTTAATGATGCCCACCTCTGTACCAGGTGACACATTCTCAGGTATGGGGTTAGACATGGATTTTAGATATATAACTGGAGCGTTGTCATTTATATCAGTAATTTCAATGATCAAAGTTGCATGTGACGCCAATCCCAGACCATCTTTAGCACTGATCCCCATTTCATATGACGATACTTTTTCATAATCAATAGATCCAACAACTGTAACTTCTCCTGTTTTGGGGTTCAGAGAGAACATTTGGTTTTCATCTGAAACATGATCAAATCCGTAAGTAACTTCACCATTCACTCCCTCATCTGCATCATTTGCACTCACTGAGATCACCACTGTATCAAGAGGAGAGTTTTCAGGGAGACTTGCTTGATAGACAGACTGACTAAACACTGGTACATTATCATTAGCATCCAGTACAGTGACGTGTATGACTACAGTACCTGATCTCTGAGGAGAGCCACCATCAAATGCGTTAAGCAATAACATAATTTCTTGTTTGTCCTCTCTGTCTAATTCTTTGTCTAAAACTAATTCGCAATATTTTCGTCCACCTGCTTTTGTGTTTACGTTTAATTTGAAATTATAATTCTGCTGAAGTGAGTAGCCCTGAATAGAATTTTCTCCGATGTCTGCATCGTGCGCTTCATCCAGGAGAAAATGTGAACCCTTAACAGCCGATTCCCGAATTTCAATCTTAAGTGAATCCTCTTTAAACTGCGGTGAATTATCATTAATATCTTGAACACGGATACTAATACGGTGCAGTTCTAGTGGATTTTCCAGTACGAGTTCCTGTTTCAGAACACATGACGCCTTTTTCCCACAAAGCCCTTCTCTGTCGATCCTTTCTTGCACGATCAAGTCTCCGGTGTTGATATTTACGCCGCAGTACTTAACGTTGTTGTCCTCAGTGTCGATACGAGCCTTGCGAGCAGACAGTCTGCCCGAATCAAGTCCCACATCCTTAGCGATATTTCCAATTACAGATCCACGTTTCATCTCCTCCGGGATAGAGTAGCTCACGTCTCCATAGACGGGGTGGAGGACAAGGGAAATAAAAGCAAGGCCGCAGAGCAGTGCAAACCTACTGTATCCCATTATAATGCGAGAAAGACCACATCCACGTTACAAACTCTAAGCTGGTCAAAATATATATCAACGATGCTTTCGCGATTCCCTCCAATAACCAAATATTATCACGTTGCAGTCCTCCACGAAGCGGTTTATGTCAACAGCGATACAATAGCAGAGTGAGGCTTTAAATTCATTGAGACAGAAGGGTGGAGAATGACCGTGCCTTCTCGTTAGCTGGTACACACTGACACCATGAGTATTTTTTAAGTTATGACAATGTGATGTAGGATTTTGTTTTTATTTATTTTACATCATTTAAAAGGCAGATCGATAGTGACCAACAGCTGTTGCAAAGTTCAAGGAAATTCGGCCGGTATTTAATTTCTTAAGTAACAGAATGAGAGTATCAAATACAACAGAAACTTTAAGGATGAAACTGCTATTTCTGGTATTTCCGCTACCTGCTCTGTAAAAACGAGACTGCGAGTAGTTGATATATATTCCTTTTTTGTTGTACAGTGTTGGATATGGAAGTTTGTGCTAATGGACAACAACATGTGGTCTTTAAAGACATACATTAAAGTTAAAGAAACACTGGAGTAAATGTGTCATTTTGTCAAAAGCATGAAGGGTTTATAAAAGTCTGCGTGTCATATTAATGTAAACGACGACGGATTTTTCACTGACGCACATATCAATTATTTAACATATAGAGGGTCAACCTAGGAACGCGGAACTCCACTAGCTACACAGAATAAACACAGAGGGTCAAATTCGTCTTTCTGCTCAAATACCGAGTTTATTTATAGCCTATGTTAATGGTGACACACTTCTGAACAGTATTATCGAGAAGACGCAGTCAGAATGACACCAGATAATAGAGACGACATATTCAAATGCAAACAATGAGCAGGAAATACCTAAATAGTTCCACAAAATCTAACTAAAAGTACAATTACTGAAACAGACCAGCAAACTGGTAAAAAATGACAACATCAGAAAACAAAGAAGCAAACTATCTCCAACAATGCATCAATACGTCAAACTAAGTTCAGCACCAAGGACAGAGAAACAAGCAGTTTTCCGTCACTGGAACATAAAAGAGAACAAGCAAACGACGAGATGGATTCAAATAGACAAGTTGTCTATTTGTCTACACTTTTAAAATCAACCAAAGCCTTAACAGTAGACATATCAAACACAGCGCATAATCGATTGGTGTGTGGGTGGGAGCAAAGGCAGGTTAAAATAACCAATGAAAGTTGCTCTGAAAATTGTTCGACTTATACTAACATATTGGTGAGAACAATGAGAACAAATGTAAAGGTTGTGATATTTAAACGGTAAATTCTAAAGTGATATATTAATCACCAACAACTGTATCGATAATAGTAAATCCAAATTCTTTAGCCAAAATCAGGACTTTTTAACAACTTTTGCACCTATTATAGAGTACTGAACCAACACAGAAAAAAATAATGCAACTGAAAAGAGTCAAAGCAAAAGAAAATAATGGATTCTTCAGGATGATGAACACAAGTTCAGTGATATGAAATGTGTTCCTACCTCAGGAGAACCATCACTGTCTCCAAATACGTCAGCAAAGTCACTTGGACTTTTCCTCAGAGTCTGGTCAGCAGGCAGTGTGTTGTCATTGTAAGATGTCACAAACTTAAAGTCACTGGTTCTAGATCCTGTTGTCAGGTATGCGTCATAATTGTAAGCGCTGCGTAAAGTTCCTGTTCCGTCAACATCTGCGTAATTAGGAGGGAGATAAGCGCTGGGGATGGCAACTGCTCCGTCAAACAACAGTCTGGGCTTTCTCCTGCGACAAAATCTCACACCCAGGATGATGATGATGAAGGTCAGAAAAAATGTGGACACAGAAACCAGCGCGATGATCAGATAAGAGGTCAGTTTGGAATTCTTCTCATCATATGAAATATCCTTCAGTTCTGGCACCTCAGCCAAGTTATCAGAAATAAGTAAATACATGGAACAGGTGGCAGAGAGAGAGGGCTGTCCGTTATCTTTCACTGACACAATAAGGTTCTGTTTCATGCTGTCTGATTCAGAAATGTCCCGCTGTGTCCTGATCTCTCCGCTGTGGAGACCAATAGTGAAAAGTCCCGGATCAGTGGATTTGACTATGTGATAGGACAGCCAGGCGTTCTGTCCGGAGTCCGCGTCCACCGCTATCACTTTGGACACCAGAGAGCCTCCGTGTGCAGCTTTGGGGACCAGCTCGGTCATGAACGAGTTTCCCTCCGGTGCGGGGTACAGTATCTGAGGAGAGTTGTCATTCACATCAGATATAAAGACACTGACGGTCACGTTGCTGCTGAGCGGAGGAGAACCGTTGTCTCTGGCCATCACGTGGACTTTAAAACTCCTGAACTGTTCATAATCAAACGACCTCACAGCGTGGATCACCCCCGTGTCTCCGTTAACAGACAGATAGGAGGACACCGGGGCACCGTTCACCTCACCAGCTAACAGAGAATAAATCACTGTACCGTTTTGTCTCCAGTCGGGGTCTCGAGCAGTAACGGAACATAAAGTGGAGCCAGGTTTGTTATTTTCAGTCACATATGCGCTGTAGGACTGTTCCTCAAACACAGGTGGGTTGTCGTTGATGTCTGCTACAGATAACTGAACAGTTTTAGAGGAGGACAGAGGTGGAGAGCCCTCGTCAGTGGCAGTGATTGTAATGTTGTAATCAGACACTAGTTCACGGTCCAGTTGTCCTGTGGTCACCAGAGAATAATAGTTTTTAATAGAAGGAACCAACTTAAAAGGGACGTTTTGTTGAATGGAGCAGCGGACCTGTTTGTTAGTCTCAGAGTCTCTATCCTGCACGTTAATGATGCCCACCTCTGTACCAGGTGACACATTCTCAGGTATGGGGTTAGACAGTGATTTTAGATATATTACCGGGGCATTGTCATTAATATCACTAACATCTACGATGACTTTGGCATAGGAAGTTAATCCCAAACCATCCTTTGCTGTGACACGAAGTTCAAACGATGACATTGTTTCAAAATCAACCGTGGTCGTCACTTTTATGTCACCTGTCTTATGATCTATAGTAAACATTGACTTAATATCTTCTGAAATGTGTCCAAAATCATATGTAATATCTCCGTTTAGTCCCTCGTCTGCATCAGTAGCACTCACTGTCAGCACAACAGTGCCTAGTGGGGAGTTTTCAGGTAGACTGGCTTTATAAACGGCCTGGCTGAACACTGGGACATTATCATTAGCATCCAGTACAGTGATGTGAATGACTACGGTACCCGACTTTTGAGGAGAACCACCATCCAGAGCTGTAAGGAGTAGATTAATTTCCTTTAAGTTTTCACGGTCAAGCTCTTTGTTAAGAACCAGTTCTACAGAATTAGTTCCAACGCCCAGAATAAAATTCTCATTTCTTTGGAGGTTGTAAGTCTGGACTGAATATTTGCCTATATCCGCATCATGTGCTTCCTCTATTGGAAAACGAGCACCTTTGACCGTATTTTCACTTATGTCTATATGGATCGATTCTTTATTAAATTGCGGAGAGTTATCATTTATATCCTGGACATGCAGACTGATTCGATGCAATTCTAGCGGACTCTCTAACATGAGTTCTTGTTTTAAGACGCAGGAGGCTTTGTCTCCACAGAGGCCCTCTCTGTCAATCCTCTCGGCAACAGTCAGATCCCCGTTACGGAGGTTTATGTCACAATAACGTTTGTCGCTCCCATCGGTATCAATGCGGGCCTTTCGACTGGATAGTCTGCTTGTTTCAAGACCCAAGTCTTTGGCGATATTTCCGATCACGGATCCGCGTTTCATCTCCTCCGGAAAAGAGTAGCTAATATCTCCATTGGCTAAATGCAAGGAAAAAATCAGCAAAAGAATGACCCAGCTTTGTAATGCGAGTCCCGAGATGGCCATCTTGAGCAAACCTGAAACGTTTCCTAGTCGGTGTGAAGGAACACAGCCAGAAAATTAAGGATTTAAAACGCAATGAACACAATCCAAGACCAAGTCTCTGTCTGAACGATCAACCGCAGCCTTTAGTCACATTACGCGTCAACAACAGTCGGTGGATGTCGACATGCATTATTTTAGAGCTGGTGCATAGCGACATCGTGAGTCTCTTCTAGAAACTGCATACTTTCACTAGCACCCGGTCGTACAAGTCGTACAAATATGAAAAAGGCACATATATGAGGCACATTCCTTTACAGGAGAAATTATATGTTGAAATGTCCTTGAGAAATGTTAAGAGTATCAAACATATAAGACCACTTCTAAAACAACAGGGCACATCATATTAAGCACTCAAATAAATCCTAATATCTGTTTCAACATTTAAATTCCCATTTTAAACAAAATACCTATAAAGTTTTGTGTTATGTAAACAAATCTCTGTGGTTAAATGTTTCTTGAGATGGTCTAAATGGTATCAAAAGAAATGCTTTGTCCAAAAATGTTAATAGTTTGCAAACACTGGGAACAACGGAAGCCTATGGCAACATCCTCTAAAAAACAACAGTGAAAGAAATGATCAAGTTGTTAAAATAATGTGAGGAATGATTTAAGCCTGACGAGAAACTATTCCTATATTACATTTTATTATCACGTAAAGACCAAAAGAAAGAGAAATGAGCAAGCTATTAAAGGCTGCAAAAAGAATAAAGCTTGATTTAATTGCAGGATTCTGATCACTTTGCTCAACACCATTAAAATCTTCCACAGGCTAGTCAGTGTTAACAAAATTCAAAAACCTCGACAAACAGCTCCAATTTACTGCAAAATACAACAAATATTGGAAATAGATTCATAATTGTAGAAATCAAACAAATACATTACAAAAGGTAAACAGGAAAAAGGTAGCCTATTATCTGGGACAATAAATATGAAGATGCCAGTAAAACTATATCAATAATCAAGGATATGTTACAAGATAAGACTCCTCAAATCTAAAACACTTGTAATTTTAATGGAAAAGAAGGAAGAAAAGTTCAACATCGATAACAAACAACGAACAAACCCCTTAAAAAAGGCCTCTGCATGATATAAAAATTATGAATTCTTTCCTATGAAAGAGTAAAGCATCAATCTGAACAATATTACACATTTAAAACGTCCCTCTAAACTTAAATCAGAGTTCAAAAGCAAACTCATTATGGACAAGTAAAAAGTTTTCAGTAATTTAAAAAAACATATACTAGTTAAAGTGTTTCCAACTACCAAAATGCTGTAAAGACAGCCAAAAAGGCTCTATGGACAACTACTATACAATGACTGCAAAATGCATCTGATAATAGATCCATCACTGATATAACTTAATAGTTTTCAAATAACAATTGGGAATCCTGGGTAAAATAATTCAGCATAACAGTTAATGTAATACCTAAGATGGACAAAATCATAACATCCTCATCTCCCATTTTTCCTAATGATGAATTTTTGTAAAGGCAAATGCCCAGCCTTACTTAAAATCACTGCGGGAAAATACCCTTTTCATATTTTTAGAAACGATGATCAATATCAATTTCACACAATCAACCACAAATCTCAAAAAGCAAGCATCCTTTTTTATGATAGAATAATGAATCAAATGTTTGATCCTCTTACCTCAGGAGAACCATCACTGTCTCCAAATACATCAGCAAAGTCACTTGGACTTTTCCTCAGAGTCTGGTCAGCAGGCAGTGTGTTGTCATTGTAAGATGTCACGAACTTAAAGTCACTGGTTCTAGATCCTGTTGTCAGATATGCGTCATAATTGTAAGCGCTGCGTAAAGTTCCTGTGCCGTCAACATCTGCGTAATTAGGAGGAAGATAAGCGCTAGGGATGGCAACTGCTCCATCAAACAACAGTCTGGGCTTTCTCCTGCGACAAAACCTCACACCCAGGATGATGATGATGAAGGTCAGAAAAAAGGTGGACACAGAAACCAGCGCGATGATCAGATAAGAGGTCAGTTTGGAATTCTTCTCATCATAAGAAATATCCTTCAGTTCTGGCACCTCAGCCAAGTTATCAGAAATAAGTAAATACATGGAACAGGTGGCCGAGAGAGAGGGCTGTCCGTTATCTTTCACTGACACAATAAGGTTCTGTTTCATGCTGTCTGATTCAGAAATGTCCCGCTGTGTCCTGATCTCTCCGCTGTGGAGACCAATAGTGAAAAGTCCCGGATCAGTGGATTTGACTATATGATAGGACAGCCAGGCGTTCTGTCCGGAGTCCGCGTCCACCGCTATCACTTTGGACACCAGAGAGCCTCCGTGTGCAGCTTTGGGGACCAGCTCGGTCATGAACGAGTTGCCCTCAGGGGAGGGGTACAGTATCTGAGGAGAGTTGTCATTCACATCAGATATAAAGACACTGACGGTCACGTTGCTGCTGAGCGGAGGAGAACCGTTGTCTCTGGCCATCACGTGGACTTTAAAACTCCTGAACTGTTCATAATCAAACGACCTCACAGCGTGGATCACCCCCGTGTCTCCGTTAACAGACAGATAGGAGGACACCGGGGCACCGTTCACCTCACCAGGTAACAGAGAATAAATCACTGTACCGTTTTGTCTCCAGTCGGTGTCTCGAGCAGTAACGGAACATAAAGTGGAGCCAGGTTTGTTATTTTCAGTCACATATGCGCTGTAGGACTGTTCCTCAAACACAGGTGGGTTGTCGTTGATGTCTGCTACAGATAACTGAACCGTTTTAGAGGAGGACAGAGGTGGAGAGCCCTCGTCAGTGGCAGTGATTGTAATGTTGTAATCAGATACTAGTTCACGGTCCAGTTGTCCTGTGGTCACCAGAGAATAATAGTTTTTAATAGAAGGAACCAACTTAAAAGGGACATTTTGTTGAATTGAGCAGCGGACCTGTCCGTTAGTCTCAGAGTCTCTATCCTGTACGTTAATGATGCCCACCTCTGTACCAGGTGACACATTCTCAGGTATGGGGTTAGTGAGTGATTTAATAAACGTAAGAGGGGCATTGTCATTAACATCTGTAATATCAATTATTAATGTAGAGGATGAGACTAATCCAAGACCATCCTTTGCTGTAATTTCCATTTCATAGGAGGACAACTCCTCATAATCTATTGATCCACTTACTTTCACTTCACCAGTTGTCTGATCAAGAGAAAACACGTTGTTACTCTCATCTGAAATGTGATCAAATTCATATGTGACCTCTCCATTGACTCCCTCGTCTGCGTCAGTTGCACTCACTGTGACCACTACAGTGTCTAAAGGAGAGTTTTCAGGCAGACTGGCCTTATAAATAGCCTGACTAAACACTGGGGCGTTATCATTAGCATCCAGCACAGTGACGTGAATTACTGCAGTACCCGATCTCTGAGGTGTGCCCCCGTCTGTTGCCACAAGCACAATTGTTAGCTCTTGTTGTTTTTCTCTATCCAACTCCTTCTCTAAAACTAATTCGCTGTATTTTCCTCCTCCGCTTTTTGCAATAACATTCAAGCTGAAGTTTTCGTTTGCCTCGATACTATAGCCCTGTATAGCGTTTTGTCCGATATCTGCATCGTGGGCCTCATCTAGACGGTAGCGACTTCCTTTAGAAGCCGATTCACTAATTTCAAATTTTATTGTATTCTTTTTAAATTGTGGTGAATTATCATTAATATCTTGAACGTGAACATTAATGCGGTGCAGCTCTAAGGGGTTTTCTAAAACAAGTTCCTGTTTTAAAATGCAGGATGCCTTTTTCCCACAAAGCCCCTCTCTGTCAATCCTATCGGCAACAATGATATCTCCAGTACCCAGATTAATGTCACAATACCGTTTGCTGTTCCCATCTGCATCAATACGAGCCTTTCGAGCAGCGAGTTTGCCCACCTCAAGTCCAATATCTTTCGCTATATTCCCGACAACTGAGCCGCGTTTCATCTCCTCTGTAAAGGAATAAGCCACATCTCCACACACGGTTGGCAGCGCCAGAAGAAATACTCCCAACGAGATAACCAGGCCGAGCACGGAAAATTCTTTGTGTCCCATGTTCATGCAAGACCAGTGCCCAATCCACTCCAACAAAGACTTTTAAAATAAAAATAATCAGCGAACCAGAATCCTCTTTGGACAACAATTGCAAGTCAGATAATAAACGGTGCGACGTCGCTGCTTGAAGCAATGAACAATCTATTGTGGGTTAGAAATGTTCAGGCGTGCAGGCCAGAGTGACATAAAGCAGCACCATTACGTAAATCTAGTGGACAGCGACACTGTGAGCAAATTGTAGGTATTACAAAATACTTGAATAATTGAGTCAGTGATGAGAAAGAAAAAAACAACATATTCTAGGCTGCAGTCAAATCGAAACATAAATAAATTGCCAAATAAAAATGTAGAGGGAAGCTTTCTATTCTAAATATCAGTGCGTATTTACCTCCATAAAACTGTTTTCCTGCACTCCAGTGACGAGAGTGGAAATCCATAAGGGTTGGGTTGTTTTCAGCACCATGGATAGTTACCACAGTATATCGCAAAAGTAATTTCCATTTCATAGGAGGACAACTCCTCATAATCTATTGATCTACTTACTTTCACTTCACCAGTTGTCTGATCAAGAGAAAACACGTTGTTACTCTCATCTGAAATGTGATCAAATTCATATGTCACATCTCCATTGACTCCCTCATCTGCATCAGTTGCACTCACTGTGACCACCACAGTGTCTAAAGGAGAGTTTTCAGGCAGACAGGCTTTATAAACGGCCTGACTAAACACTGGGGCGTTATCATTAGCATCCAGCACAGTGACGTGAATTACTGCAGTACCCGATCTCTGAGGTGTGCCTCTATCTGTTGCCACAAGCACAACTGTAAGCTCTTGTTGTTTTTTTCTATCCAACTCCTTCTCTGAAACTAATTCGCTGTATTTTGAGTGGAAATCCATAAGGGTTGGGTTGTTTTCAGCACAATGGATAGTTACCACAGTATATCGCAAAACATGGGCCAGGGACCATGTTTAACATGAGTCTCAGAAGATTTACCAAACTGCAAAATGAAAGTAATACTAACAAAACTGTGGTCGTTTTTCTTAAGGTGATACACTGATTCACATACCAAACAGCACCATTCCAGGAGTTCTTTAAGAGAAATAGCTGCTATAGCTATAAATAAGGATGATAAAGAGCTGAGAAATATGATGGATCCATGAAAACCACACAGGTTGGCATAACCTAAATCAGTTGATACTATATCTTTCTTCATTATCCCACCACTCTAGGCCACAGGTTAGGGAAGAATGTGGTCTTCATACCAACAACTGGTTTCCAGTATAAGTTATGGGCACTGACTGAACCTCATTTAGATTAAAGTCGGTGCTTATACCGCAGCAGTAGGCTTCCATATGAAACGATTGTCATTGGCCGATTTCAGTTCAAGGATTATAGGAAGAGAAAGCAAAACGTTCATATACATTACTTAAAAGACAATGAAGCATTTCGAAACTCAGGCCACACATAGGCAATATAACAAATGTGGGATGGCAAGTGATAGAAAGAAAATTATCCTATACTTTTGGGATATTTTTTTTGCATTAGATAATCCATCATGGACATAAAAATTTACACTTGAACCAAAAATCGTAATTTTGATAAAACAGCCGCATGAAAGAGGAATGAGGTTAATAAGCATTTTTGAAGAAAATCCGTTTTAAAAAGCCACTTGAGGTTAAAGACAACATATCCAGACAGACAACAATTGACATTTTGTTCTGTCAGTCCACCCCATTTAAAAACTACAGAAAAAAAAGTGGTGTTCAAACAATGTCACCTAAACTAATCTGAATTTGTTTGGGTGTAAAGAATCCACACAGATTAAGGGATTTGACTGCGCCTACCTCTAGAGTATCCAACGAATCTTGAAAGACCTCAGCGAAATCACTAGGACTTTTCCTCAGAGTCTGGTCAGCAGGCAGTGTGTTGTCATTGTAAGATGTCACGAACTTAAAGTCACTGGTTCTAGATCCTGTTGTCAGATATGCGTCATAATTGTAAGCGCTGCGTAAAGTTCCTGTGCCGTCAACATCTGCGTAATTAGGAGGAAGATAAGCGCTAGGGATGGCAACTGCTCCATCAAACAACAGTCTGGGCTTTCTCCTGCGACAAAACCTCACACCCAGGATGATGATGATGAAGGTCAGAAAAAAGGTGGACACAGAAACCAGCGCGATGATCAGATAAGAGGTCAGTTTGGAATTCTTCTCATCATAAGAAATATCCTTCAGTTCTGGCACCTCAGCCAAGTTATCAGAAATAAGTAAATACATGGAACAGGTGGCAGAGAGAGAGGGCTGTCCGTTATCTTTCACTGACACAATAAGGTTCTGTTTCATGCTGTCTGATTCAGAAATGTCCCGCTGTGTCCTGATCTCTCCGCTGTGGAGACCAATAGTGAAAAGTCCCGGATCAGTGGATTTGACTATGTGATAGGACAGCCAGGCGTTCTGTCCGGAGTCCGCGTCCACCGCTATCACTTTGGACACCAGAGAGCCTCCGTGTGCAGCTTTGGGGACCAGCTCGGTCATGAAGGAGTTGCCCTCAGGGGAGGGGTACAGTATCTGAGGAGAGTTGTCATTCACATCAGATATAAAGACACTGACGGTCACGTGGCTGCTGAGCGGAGGAGAACCGTTGTCTCTGGCCATCACGTGGACTTTAAAACTCCTGAACTGTTCATAATCAAATGACCTCACAGCGTGGATCACCCCCGTATCTCCGTTAACAGACAGATAGGAGGACACCGGTGCACCGTTCACCTCACCAGCTAACAGAGAATAAATCACTGTACCGTTTTGTCTCCAGTCGGGGTCTCGAGCAGTAACGGAACATAAAGTGGAGCCAGGTTTGTTATTTTCAGTCACATATGCGCTGTAGAACTGTTCCTCAAACACAGGTGGGTTGTCGTTGATGTCTGCTAAAGATAACTGAACAGTTTTAAAGGAGGACAGAGGTGGAGAGCCCTCGTCAGTGGCAGTGATTGTAATGTTGTAATCAGACATTAGTTCACGGTCCAGTTGTCCTGTGGTCACCAGAGAATAATAGTTTTTAATAGAAGGAACCAACTTAAAAGGGACGTTTTGCTGAATGGTGCAGCGGACCTGTTTGTTAGTGTCAGAGTCTCTATCCTGTACGTTAATGATGCCCACCTCTGTACCAGGTGACACATTCTCAGGTATGGGGTTAGACAGTGATTTCAGATATATAACTGGAGCGTTGTCATTTATATCAGTAATTTCAATGATCAAAGTTGCATGTGACGCCAATCCCAGACCATCTTTAGCACTGATCCCCATTTCATATGACGATTCTTTTTCATAATCAATAGATCCAACAACTGTAACTTCTCCTGTTTTGGGGTTCAGAGAGAACATTTGGTTTTCATCTGAAACATGATCAAATCCGTAAGTAACTTCACCATTTACTCCCTCATCTGCATCATTTGCACTCACTGAGATCACCACTGTATCAAGAGGAGAGTTTTCAGGGAGACTTGCTTGATAGACAGACTGACTAAACACTGGTACATTATCATTAGCATCCAGTACAGTGACGTGTATGACTACAGTACCTGATCTCTGAGGAGAACCACCATCAAATGCGTTAAGCAATAACATAATGTCTTGTTTGTCCTCTCTGTCTAATTCTTTGTCTAAAACTAATTCGCAATATTTTCGTCCACCTGCTTTTGTGTTTACGTTTAATTTGAAATTATCATTCTGCTGAAGTGAGTAGCCCTGAATAGCATTTTCTCCGATGTCTGCATCGTGCGCCTCATCCAGGAGAAAATGTGAACCCTTAACAGCCGATTCCTGAATTTCAATCTTAAGTGAATCCTCTTTAAACTGCGGTGAATTATCATTAATATCTTGAACGCGGATACTAATACGGTGCAGTTCTAGTGGATTTTCCAGTACGAGTTCCTGTTTAAGAACACATGACGCCTTTTTCCCACAAAGCCCTTCTCTGTCGATCCTCTCTTGCACGATCAAGTCTCCGGTGTTGAGATTTACGCCACAGTATTGAACATTGTTGTCCTCAGTATCGATACGAGCTTTGCGAGCAGACAGTCTGCCCGAATCAAGTCCCACATCCTTAGCGATATTTCCAATTACAGATCCACGTTTCATCTCCTCCGGGATAGAGTAGCTCACGTCTCCATAGACGGGGTGGAGGACAAGAGAAATAAAAACAAGGCCGCAGAGAAGCGAAAACCTACTGTATCCCATTGTAATTCGAGAAAGACCACATCCACGTTACAAACTCTAAGCTGGTCAAAATATATCAACGATGCTTTCGTGATTCCCTCCAATTAACAAATATGAACACGTTGCAGTCCTCCACGAAGCGGTTTATGACAACAGCGATACAATGGCAGAGTGAGGCTTTAAATTCATTGAGACAGAAGGGTGGAGAATGACCGTGCCTTCTCGTTAGCTGGTACACACTGACACCATGAGTATTTTTAAGTTATGACAAGGTGATGTAGGATTTTGTTTTTATTTATTTTACATCATTTAAAAGGCAGATCGATAGTGAACAACAGTTGTTGCAAAGTTCAAGGAAATTCGGCTGGTATTTAATTTTTTAAGTAACAGAATAAGAGTATGAAATACAACAGAAACTTTAAGGATGAAACTGCTATTTCTGGTATTTCCGCTACCTGCTCTGTCAAAGCTAGACTGCGAGTAGTTGATATATATTCCTTTTTTGTTGTACAGTGTTGGATATGGAAGTTTGTACTAATGGACAACAACATGTGGTCTTTAAAGACATACATTAAAGTTAAAGAAACACTGGAGTAAATGTGTCATTTTGTCAAAAGCATGAAGGGTTTATAAATGTCTGCCTGTCATATTAATGTAAACGACGACGGACTTTTCACTGACGCACATATCAATTACTTAACATATAGAGGGTATACCTAGGAACGCGAAACTCCACTAGCTACACAGAATAAACACAGAGGGTCAAATTCGTCTTTCTGCTCAAATACCGAGTTTATTTATAGCCTATGTTAATGGTGACACACTTCTGAACAGTATTATCGAGAAGACGCAGTCAGAATGACACCAGACAATAGAGACGACATATTCAAATGCAAACAATGAGCAGGAAATACCTAAATATTTCCACAAAATCTAACTAAAAGTACAATTACTGAAACAGACCAGCAAACTGGTAAAAAGTGACAACATAATAAAACAAAGAAGTAAACTACATCTAACAATGCATCAATGCGTCAAACTGAGTACAGCACCAAGGACAGAGAAACAAGCAGTTTTCCGTCACTGGAACATAAAAGAGAACAAGCAAACGACCAGGTGGATTCAAATAGACAAGTTGTCTCAAACACTTTTAAGATCAACCAAAACCTTAACAGTAGACACATCAAACAAACGCGCATAATCGATTGGTGTGTGGGTGGGAGCAAAGGCAGGTTAAAATAACCAATGAAAGTTGCTCTGAAAATTGTTCGACTTATACTAACATATTGGTGAGAACAATGAGAACAAATGTAAAGGTTGTGATATTTAAACGGTAAATTCTAAAGTGAGATTAAATCACCAACAACTGTATCGATAATAGTAAATCCAAATTCTTTAGCCAAAATCAGGACTTTTTAACAACTTTTGCACCTATTATAGAGTACTGAACCAACACAGAAAAAAATAATGCAACTGAAAAGAGTCAAAGCAAAAGAAAATAATGGATTCTTCAGGATGATGAACACAAGTTCAGTGATATGAAATGTGTTCCTACCTCAGGAGAACCATCACTGTCTCCAAATACGTCAGCAAAATCACTTGGACTTTTCCTCAGAGTCTGGTCAGCAGGCAGTGTGTTGTCATTGTAAGATGTCACAAACTTAAAGTCACTGGTTCTAGATCCTGTTGTCAGGTATGCGTCATAATTGTAAGCGCTGCGTAAAGTTCCTGTGCCGTCAACATCTGCGTAATTAGGAGGAAGATAAGCGCTAGGGATGGCAACTGCTCCATCAAACAACAGTCTGGGCTTTCTCCTGCGACAAAACCTCACACCCAGGATGATGATGATGAAGGTCAGAAAAAAGGTGGACACAGAAACCAGCGCGATGATCAGATAAGAGGTCAGTTTGGAATTCTTCTCATCATAAGAAATATCCTTCAGTTCTGGCACCTCAGCCAAGTTATCAGAAATAAGTAAATACATGGAACAGGTGGCCGAGAGAGAGGGCTGTCCGTTATCTTTCACTGACACAATAAGGTTCTGTTTCATGCTGTCTGATTCAGAAATGTCCCGCTGTGTCCTGATCTCTCCGCTGTGGAGACCAATAGTGAAAAGTCCCGGATCAGTGGATTTGACTATGTGATAAGACAGCCAGGCGTTCTGTCCGGAGTCCGCGTCCACCGCTATCACTTTGGACACCAGAGAGCCTCCGTGTGCAGCTTTGGGGACCAGCTCGGTCATGAACGAGTTGCCCTCCGGGGCGGGGTACAGTATCTGAGGAGAGTTGTCATTCACATCAGATATGAAGACACAGACGGTCACGTTGCTGCTGAGCGGAGGAGAACCATTGTCTCTGGCCATCACGTGGACTTTAAAACTCCTGAACTGTTCATAATCAAACGACCTCACAGCGTGGATCACCCCCCGTGTCTCCGTTAACAGACAGATAGGAGGACACCGGGGCACCGTTCACCTCACCAGGTAACAGAGAATAAATCACTGTACCGTTTTGTCTCCAGTCGGGGTCTCGAGCAGTAACGGAACATAAAGTGGAGCCAGGTTTGTTATTTTCAGTCACATATGCGCTGTAGGACTGTTCCTCAAACACAGGTGGGTTGTCGTTGATGTCTGCTACAGATAACTGAACAGTTTTAGAGGAGGACAGAGGTGGAGAGCCCTCGTCAGTGGCAGTGATTGTAATGTTGTAATCAGACACTAGTTCACGGTCCAGTTGTCCTGTGGTCACCAGAGAATAATAGTTTTTAATAGAAGGAACCAACTTAAAAGGGACGTTTTGTTGAATGGAGCAGCGGACCTGTTTGTTAGTCTCAGAGTCTCTATCCTGCACGTTAATGATGCCCACCTCTGTACCAGGTGACACATTCTCAGGTATGGGGTTAGACAGTGATTTTAGATATATTACCGGGGCATTGTCATTTATATCACTAACATCTACGATGACTTTGGCATAGGAAGTTAATCCCAAACCATCCTTTGCTGTGATACGAAGTTCAAACGATGACATTGTTTCAAAATCAACCGTGGTCGTCACTTTTATGTCACCTGTCTTATGATCGATATTAAACATTGACTTAATATCTTCTGAAATGTGTCCAAAATCATATGTAATATCTCCGTTTAGTCCCTCGTCTGCATCAGTAGCACTCACTGTCAGCACAACAGTGCCTAGTGGGGAGTTTTCAGGTAGACTGGCTTTATAAACGGCCTGGCTGAACACTGGGACATTATCATTAGCATCCAGTACAGTGATGTGAATGACTACGGTACCTGACTTTTGAGGAGAACCACCATCCAGAGCTGTAAGGAGTAGATTGATTTCCTTTAAGTTTTCACGGTCAAGCTCTTTGTTAAGAACCAGTTCTACAGAATTAGTTCCAACGCCCAGAATAAAATTCTCATTTCTTTGGAGGTTGTAAGTCTGGACTGAATATTTGCCTATATCCGCATCATGTGCTTCCTCTATTGGAAAACGAGCACCTTTGCCAGCTGATTCACTTATATCTATGTGGATCGATTCTTTATTAAATTGCGGAGAGTTATCATTTATATCCTGGACATGCAGACTGATTCGATGCAATTCTAGCGGACTCTCTAACATGAGTTCTTGTTTTAAGA